AAAATAGTGATGAAGAAAATAATAAAAGTGACTATTGCGACAAACAATTTTTGGAGAATGCTGTTTTATCAGCTGAGTGTCTCGTTAACGAAGAAAAAGAACCAATAACATACGATGAAGCAATAAACAGTGTCCATAAAACAGAATGGAAAAAAGCCATAGAAAAGGAAATTGGTTCTCTAAAAGAAAATAAAACTTGGATTTTAACAGACCTACCCAAAGGTGCAAAAGTAATTCCAAGTAAATGGGTATTTAAACTAAAAAGAAATCCAGATGGTTCCATTGACAAATATAAAGCAAGACTTGTGATAAAGGGATACAGTCAACGTAAAGGAATCGATTATAATCAAACTTTTAGTCCAGTAGCCAGACTAGGAACTATAAGGGCTGTCTTGAGTGTGGCTGCTAGTGAAAATCTGTATCTCTCGCAATTTGATGTGTCAACCGCATTCCTATACGGAGAATTGGAAGAAGAAGTCTACATGTTTCAGCCGGAGGGCTATGATGATGAGTCTGGAAGAGTTTGTAAACTCATCAGGAGCCTCTATGGTCTAAAACAAGCTCCTCGATGTTGGAATATACGTTTTGGAGGTTACCTTTTAAAGTTGGGGTTTCACGTGAGTGATGCTGACCCATGTCTTTATATTCGAATCGTGAATGAAAATATTATAATAATTGCACTTTATGTTGATGATGGACTCGCAGGAGCAACGAAAAACGAAGATTTACAATCGTTTCTGAAAGACTTACAAGAAGAATTCAAAATCACCTTAAAAGAAAATGCTGATTTTTTCCTTGGTCTTGAAATTGAGCGAGTGTGTGGAGGAATTAAGATAAAACAAGAGTCTTACGCAAAAAAGCTACTCCTGCGATTCAACTTCTCGGAATGTAAATCTGTATCGACACCAATGCTGAGTAATCGAGAATTTTTCACGGAAGGAAAAGAAGAGGATACAAATTCTACATTCCCTTATAGACAAGCAGTGGGTGCCTTGATGTACTTGATGCTAGGCACAAGGCCTGATTTAGCGTATTCTGTAGGCGTATTGTCAAGAAGTCTGGAAAATCCATCAGCTGAGGATATCAATCGCCTTAAACGTGTTTTTAGATATATTTCTGGGACAACGGATCTAGGAATCACTTATTCATCAGATAGGCAACAGAAAATCTTAAAAATCTACAGTGATGCGGATTTTGGAGGATGCACTAAAACCGGGCGCTCAACTTCCGGTATGATATCCATCTACGCAGGAGGACCTATCACATGGTGTAGTCAACGCCAGTCGATTGTCGCTACTTCAACTACAGAAAGTGAAATCATTGCAGCATCAGAAGCAACGAAAGAATCTATTTGGTTAAAAAGACTTTTTGGGCAGATAAGTGACCTAACACAGCTTCCTATTTTACACATTGATAATACCGCAGCTATCAGACTAGCTCAAAATCCGGAGTTCCACAAGCGAACCAAGCATATAGCAATAAAACATTTCTTTGTGAGAGAAAAAGTTGCTGAACAACAAATAACTGTTCAGCAGGTTTCTTCAAATGATAATATTGCAGATTTAATGACAAAACCACTGAAGAAAACCTTGTTAAAGAGATTTATTGTTGAGCTTGGAATGTGAGTGGAGTGTCAAATTAGGGAAGGTATAATTTAAGGTTTCAAATTGGGGAAGGTATTGAAGTTACAATTTGTCAACGTATGATCAGATGATGATGTTAGTTATACATATAACCTAAAAAAATGATGTATATGAAAAAGTGCAAAATGCAGTCTGTCTCACAAGATTAAATTCTTTTTATTATTCCCATAAATACACATTACAAAGCACCATTATTTCCAAAAGAACCAATCCAGTGCTGCGGTTTAAATGAGCTTAAGACTTGGGTCTGCAAATCCATCCTAAAAAAAAACACACAAGAACCTGAAAGAAGAAGAAAGAACGCGCATCAACACAGCGAAGGTAGGAGAGATGTGTTCGGGCCTCTTTTTTAACTTTTCTCCCGAATCTGAGCGACACCGCATTAGCAGCATATAGCAGAGCACCGAGAGCTCACGCTTCGCGTCATCGCGCCTTCAATTTTTCAGATGCAGCACGGACGTCCATCAAGTAGGAATAGTTGTATCTCTGCGCCGTTGGAAACGCGCATCCTTTCCCTCGCTGTATTTGCATATTGTGTTTGTTTCCGTTTGTCTTATTCGTGATGGTGCCTCAAACCAATAGCATAGAGGAGAGAAATGTGAGTTTACGACTCACGCCATCGCGTCTTGATTTTTTCATATGGAATGTGGACATTCATCTTGCGCAAACAGTTGTATCGCGTTTACACTTTAGATGTTTCTTATTTTTGAATTTCGAGATAAATTTAGGTCATGTTTGCCCGAGATATGCTATGGTAATTCCAAATCAATAGTCATTTTGAAAAGGAAGAAATATGTTTAAAGGTCCCTCGAGAGTCTATAGAGAGTGAGTATGTGTAAAAATCGAACCGACCATCGCTTTTAAGGGAGTTACACATAGCGAATGAAAGAGGGGGGTTATGAAGCGCATGTAGGTTAACGAAGAGGTGAACATTTCACAGAAAAGTGTTTACGCTTCCGAAAGTAGTTCTTGGACCTCTATTCTTGACTATCATGCGTAAAAGCACCTTTCTTTACTCCTAACTCTCTCTTCTTCCGTTCATTTAATAAATTTTCCGCATATATTCTCGGTCGTAATTTTTTTCTCTTCTTATTTTGCCATCGGTCAGAGGGGCGCGTTTTCGGCGCGCCAAGGGGGCGTATCTGCCAATGACAGATTGGCCTTATAGCCAGTCCGAGCCTGAATACGTGTGATGGATATACCTATTTTGTGCGGATGTACTGCAATGTACAATAAATTGTACAATCGTGCATTCAGCAGAGCTGAGAAATTCTCGAACGGCGCCCGGCGGACTGGGACCTGACGTTGATGAAAACAAGGCGCGGGTGCAATTATTCCTACCCGAGAGATGTCTTTCGGTAGCTTACCGGCCCTCTAAGGCAAGCTTACAATTAGACCCGTTTCCCCTCTTAAGTAGCGTGCGTAGTATTTGAACGGCACCTAACGAATTTTCTACATAGGCCATTTTTTGTGTCAAAGCGACGTGCGAAATATCGCATCGATTACCTCCATAATTTCAGCTACTTGTCATTTGCTTCAAATTTTGAGATCGCACTTCTGTTGTCATGAGACTGAACAACTCATGTACCAAATTTGACAAAGAAATTCAACGTAATAAAAGCGTGTTTTTTTAGAGGGAAAATATCGCATTCGAGTGCAGTTTCGATATCAGTATCGAATGCGATATTTTTCCTCTAAAAAACCTCGCCTTTATTACGTCGAATTTCTTCATCAAATTTGGTACCTGAGTTCTTAAGTCTTAAAACGACAGAGTTGCGATCACAAAATTCGAAAAAAATGACAAGTAGCTGAAATTATGGAAAAAATCGATGCGATATATCGCACGTAGCTCTGACGCAAAAAATGGCCTCCATCGAATCACCTTAAGGCGAACTGACATGGCTTTAAAGCCAACTGACATGACTTTAAAGCCTCTCCCCGCGTGGTATAAAAAGCTATTTTTGTTTATGTTCAGAGTGAGCGTGCCATTTCACCATGCTACCACTAGTCAAACAGGTGGGTTCTCGTGATTGCCATCACCGAAAATTGTAAGTGATCTGCCAATGCTTTGGATTCATCTCTCCAAATTTGGTAAAAGGGTATTTTTTGTATGCTCTGAATAGCGAGATGGGTATTTTCGATAATACCACAATTCGACCACGTGGGAGCTCATGTTGCCTATATTGAAAGTTGAAGGCAAACCGGCAAGTCGTTTGAGTCATTTTTTTCCGTCCGGTAAAAAACTATTTTTTTTTGTTTACTTGTACATGAGCATTCCGAGTGAGCGACCCCTTTCACGATGATACCAACCTTCGACCAACCGTTTCCGCGATTTCTTTCACGCGTTGTTAGGGAAATATCGCATCAGGAGTCGATCGTCCCATATCGACTTTAAATCATTTTTAAAGAAAACCGGAAGATCTATCCTTCTAACGGGAGGGGCCCTCCCGTTAGAGGGATAGGAAGGAATCCTCAAGCGAAAAGGTTTCTAGAGACGAGAGAAAGAAGGCTTGGGGTCAGCAAAAAAGATGAAATTCAGCAGCAACATTCTTGATTTTAAAAAAAAAATTAGTCTCGGCGGCAAAGTTTAGCTATTTTTGTTTCCCCAAGTAGCGGAGGCTCCAAGAAATTGCGATTATTTACCCCAAGTGGCAAGATGAAAATATTTTATGAAACAAAAATTAATGAAAAAAATTTAGGAAGTAAAGAAAAAGTACCTAGCATTATGGAAAATAGACAGAAAATTTAAAGTGAGTGTCACTATTTACCAAAGAAAATAGGTCTATTTCCTGTATACAAAATGGATCAATTTTCCGTCATCTAGAAAATTGATAGGGCTATTTCCTTAAGAAAAAATAGTCAAAAACCTGATGGAAAATAGAGAAAAATTGGATATTTTCTTCATCTAGGTATTTCTTAGAAATTGAAAATTCAGAAAACAGACAGAAAAAACACAGAATGTAGACAACAAAATTGTCGACACGGGTAGTGAACGATTTCTAGCGGGGAGAGCTCCCTGGCGAAAAACTTGTATATCTTATAATTTTTTTAAAAATTTTTAACTTTTAACATTACACACTGGTCGTGTGTATTAATTAGTTAACTCTTAAACTCGGTGAGATGTAATGATGAAAGGCGGGTCGTGCGCCATACGCGCTGCGGACAGCGCAAGGCGGCTTATGAAAATGAAATTCTCCCCTGTGCTCTGTCGCTCGGCGTTGACACGAGCGTCAATTTAAAAAATTGCGCCATATTTTAAAACACTCAGTAGTGATTGGTCGATTTCTCATTGGTCTATTCGGCTGGCTGACAATCAAAACATAACCTCAATCTTCTCAGACCAAAACAACGAATCCTGCCGAAATCCAAAATTTTCTGATGTCTTTTGTTCCCTAGTTAATACCTCTCATATTTTTCTGTGTAAAAATGTCTAAATGTAAGTAAGTGCTGCAGTAAGTTTTGTGTCTTAACATGATTGAATTTCAAGCTTTTGCCGTGTACTTTAATCAGAACTTAAGCACCCACCATCAACACCTGTAGCAAACGTGATTGCAAGTCCATTGGAAAACACAGTTTGCAAAATTATCGTGTCTCATTATCTGAGGTCTTATGTATGTTTCGGTGATGATGACTATTCACAATAGTCTTGTTCTGCTTTTTGTTGCGTTTTATATTCTCACAGTCGATTGCGGCACTCCAGAGGAGGAAGAAGGTGTCAAGTACGCCAACCTATGTGAAGGTAATTATATCTCCTTTGTACTTACTTGAAGTGGAATCAAGTGTAGGAAGAGTAGACATCTTGAACTTTATGTGACGGCTACCGCAGACTGAGTGTCATGTAATGGACCGCCAGACAAGGTGTGAATTAAAGCATAACGTTGCATGTTTTCTCTTTGAAATATCATACAGAAATCAAATCACAAGACTGAAAGTCTGAAGATCAACTCTTGAAAAATATGTGTTTTCAGTAAAGAGTGATTAGATGGCGAAAACACTATGGCGACATTTGTATACTCTAACTTCCATTTGATTTGTGTTAAAAAACTTGTTATTATCTTGTTCAGGAGTTGATTTCTGAACTGCCCATTATGTGAATCGTTTCCTCCGTAAGATTTTGAAGAGAAGACATGTGATGTTCTCCTCTTATTCAGACTTTGTCTAGTGGCCCACTGAAGGTTTTCAGGTGACCTACCTCAATAAATATTGGTCTACTGAAAATTTTACGGAGATCCCTTTTCCCTTAGATGGTTGCAACTAATTATATTTAAGTTTGTGTACCATTCATCACATGTAAGTCAACCAAGTAATGGTCCGTCGTATGACATAGTAGATCCCTGCAGATTCCTAAAAAATTCAGGACATTGAATTTTTGCAATATCGCTTTTAGAACTTACTAAAAATCTCTACAGGCTTTTGAATAAGAAAGATTCCTACTTAAATCATCAATTTTGCCTAGTGAATAACATGAACTTCCCTTTTTTTCATTTCAGCATACTTTTTAAATTTAGGCGACTTGTGTTCTTGCCTTTTACATACTCGCCAAATTTAAAATATATTCTTTTTCTAGTGTGCAAAATATTGACAACAGAACTGGAAGATAGATTGGAAACCACCGGCAAGAGTCATGATGTGCTTGAAATTGGTTATTCTGTCGATGATGTAAAACCCAAAAAGAAGACTCAGTATAAAAAATCGTGAGTTGACATTCCTCTCTACAACTTTTATAAGATTATGATAAGGTCTAGTTTTGTCTCAAGTATTGGTGATATCATCATGCCACCCGATTAGTAACACCCTGACCAAACAAAACAGATGTAGAGCCCTAGCCATTACTGATTTTACTATGTTTGTGTTTTCAAAAGCTCTCTGGATTTTTCAAAAAGTATGCTAATCATCAATGCTGCAAAATGCTCGTAGTTTTCAGAGACATCAATGCAAAATGGATTCCTGTAAGCAGAGCCTTCATCAGGTGGACTGTGCTAATATCCCAAAATTTGCCATCATCAGGCCTTGTGCTTTTGCCCTTTCTTAAAGCTCTATTTTTCTAGCAAAGAGCTCTAATTTGTTTACTGTTTTTAAAAATATTACATATTTTAACCCCATAAGTGAGAAAATCCTATCTCCAATTCTTAGTCCTCCTATTAATGATGTATCAATGGGCCTGTTGTTCTGGTAACAGAATCGTGTTTTGATGCTTGACTCTTGTAGATTAGCTGAAAATAAGGAATTCTATCGGAACAGTAACTTTCTATGTTGAATATTAACCGCGACATCGTCTTTTGAAAAGTTGGGTTTTTGACGTCAACCAATGCGGTAGTGCATAGCATGGTATGCACTACTGCAGTGGATGATGTCGAAAACCCAACTTTTCAAAAGATGATATCTCAGTTGAAATTCAACGCAGAAAGTTGCTGTTTGGGCAGATCTTATTATTTTTAGTTGATCTGCAAGAATAAAGCATCAAAACACGATTCTGTGACCAGCGCAACCGACCTATTAGAATAATGGAGTAGATTTCAGGGTGCACGTGTGTACAGTCCTCAATTAAGACATTAGTTTTGAAAACAAATTGAGAAGAATACGACCTTTTTGGTTTTTTCTCAAAAATAAATATTAAGCCAAAACATCCTTCCGGCCAAATTATATTATTTTAAGTGGGGAATTGGAGATATGACATCATATCATGCTGACAAATTTTGTTTTTACAAAAAATGTTCAACTTTGATTTTTGACTATGTGATGTTCAATGACCAAGAACCTCTCCACTCCAAGATCCTGCACTTAAGTTTATTTTGAACTCTCAACTTGGAAACGTTGACATATGAGATTCTTGTATCGGTATCAAAAGTGGGAGTACTATGTTATGGAGTGTAAGTGTAATCAAGTTATTTATTTACTCATCAATGTTTTGTTCCAGGGAGTTGCGCCTTGTAGAATCTTTAGATGGGATTTGCGAAAAAGTTCTGGAGTACAACATTCACAAGGAAAGGAAAGATAGCACGCGTTTCTCCAAGGGAATGAGCCAAACGTTCAAAACTCTTCACGGTCTTGTGTAAGTTTTTTTTTTTTAATTGGTGTAAATTTGACTCTGTTGTGTAAGTCTGCCATGCTAAGGAAAAACGCTGTATGAACATTCAAGAGTTGCCAAATTTTCTTCGATAAAATGTTTATTTTTGAGGAAAGTTATCAATATTTTTCCTTGAAATTTTTAGATGATTTAGATCTAATTACAAACGAAATTTTCTGAAAAATCGGAATAAAAGTGTTCATAAATATTCCAGAAAATTCGTGATTTATCAGATGGTATTTGGCAATGCCTAAAAGCTTATACTGTGTTTTTCCTTAGCATGGCAGAATTGCTGAGTGGTTCTGATTTAAAGTTACTCGCTGCAATGCTCCCAAAAATCAGGATTACATATGGTTGTAATCCTCCTCATTCCATTCTATCAGTAGTTATGTATCTCATCTCCATGACATTTTAGCAGAGTCTTTTGTCTGTGAATGTAATCAGGCCATCGCATTTGCTTAATAGAGTGAACTTTTGTGAAGGCTATCTAAAAAAACAGCTGAATATAAAGCAATTTATCGAATTTTATATTGACAGGGCAAGATTTATTTATTCATTCATTGCTTGAAAAATTCAAGCATTCACAGTGTACATTTTTTTTTCCAGGGACAAAGGTGTGAAAGTTGACCTGGGGATTCCATATGAGCTGTGGGATAAGCCGTCAGTAGAAATCACCAACATGAAAAATCAGGTTTGTATGTCTTTGTTAACTGATACAAATTCTCCAGCAACTCTTGCCAAGTGATAACTGGCATAAGTGAGAGAACTTGCTAATCAAGCAAGATTGGCCTGTCTCGTATTTTCTAATTTTTTTTACTAATTTTTAAGCATCTCTAAGGACTAATCCTGCACTTAACTTCCCAGTCCTCTCACACCCAGCCCCAGGTGACTTTTGCATGAGACCATTAAACTCAGGTCACTTGCGAAGAATAGAACCTGCAACCTTTTGGTGGCGCAGTTAGCGCTTCATCCACCTCACGACAGAAAGCTGACTTTGAAAGTGAGAATTTTCCTCTCTTCTCTGAATATGAGTTTTGTATTCATAACTGACGTCTTCATTTCTTCAGCTTTAGTGAGGGAAAATGCCATGATGAAGAGGACTTTTAAAAATGTAAATGATAATGTCTCAACAAAAAGTTTTAAGTTCATTAAGTCCAACTTCAAGAAAATTTAGGTCAGTATGTACAGAATATTCAATCTTCTCAACATTTATAAGAACTTATCTTCTTCTTCTTTTATACAGCTCAAATTTTTTCGAAAATTTAGCTTCAAAAATTGAAAATATTTATTTAATCTCTCTGTGCTTTATAAAATTCCTCATGAAAAGTTATAGGCATAGCCTCAACAGCATATCATTGATGGTTATAAAAGTTGATTTTTTAAGTAAAATTGAGTACTTTTGTCATTCTTTGATCCAGCATGAACCTTTATATGCTGCAAGGAGTCCGCCATAGATCTTAGACACTAAACCACTAGAGGAAGTGTGATCTAAAGCATTATATAATATGATCTCTTTTCAAAATTACATGAAGAAAACAAATCACACAACGGATAGTTAGAAAATCAACTTCTAAACAAGATATAAGTCTTCACAGTTAACCTTGGTTAAATAGCAAAAATACAAATGATTTAAGTTGTACTATCTAACTTCCATTTGATCTGTCTCAAACATATTTGTTAATATCTTATCAAAGAGGAGATTTTTGGACTTCCCATTGTACGAAACATTTTCTACGTAAAATTTTAAGGAGGAAACATGAGTCTTTTTTTTCAGTTCAGACCTTAAGTATCCATGTGCCCATTGGAGGTGGCTCATGAGAATGAAGTACCTTGCAATATAATCACCCTCTGGCCAAAGTACCACAAGCATAACATAGCCCAAATGACGTAACTTGGGATACGTTGGCCAAAAAGTGACAATATCAAGTCAACACTGTTCCCATGTGAGAGAATTCGTGAACAGTTTGTAGGAAGTTTAAAAATTAAATTCCACTCATTTTCACATCTATGAATTATTGCCTCATGTGCGTTTTTTCTTTTTTCCAGTGCGAAAAATTGTTAGAAATCTACGAGGAAGACATAGAAGACTGGTATTTCAAAAAACAAGGTAAAACAAGCTTGAAACAATACATTTGTGCTGATAAAGTATTAAAAGGTAAAGATGTTTCATGTTTATCTGAAACATTATCTATAACAAATGAGAAAGGCGATTCAGGGCGAAAGTCCAAGAAAAAGAAGGTGCCAAAATCCAAACCACCAAAAGAAGACTTATGAACCAAACATTTAGGTAATCATTCAGGGAGAAGCTTCAGCTCTGTTGTAGCTCATGGATGGCATTTTATAAATGATAGATGGTATCTTTACAAGTTAAGAATTAATCCTTCCATGTGATTTTAAAAGGACAAGTCTTCCAATTAAATTATTCATTTAGTTGTTCAAATTTAGTTTTAATTTTAAGTGAGGGATGCCGCTTGTAAGTGATTAATAGCATGTTAACAAAGAAGTGGTGGTGTGAAGGTAGGACCTGACACATGGGCAGGCCAATGCCCTAAGGGGCCCCCATCTCTCTCAAACGGAGTACAGCGAGGTACAAAATAAAAAAAATTCTTTGCCTTAAAAAATTTAAGCACGGAACATACGTTTGAGCGAATTGAACTATATTTTTGAGGATTTTAAGGTTTTCTAATTGGGAAGACTAGTCTTCGTTCATCAGAACATTTAGTTCCAAAGTCTTTATTGTGGCCCAATCTGCTGGTCGATGCAAAATATTTTCTTTATGCAAGGTAATAAATTGAAAAATTAAAGAGAATATCAAGGGCAAAAAGTCTTGACCCTTTGTGAGGACATCAGGCAAGCTCACTTCTCAAAATTTTCTGAGGGAGAGCCTTAAAATCCGCCATCGATTGAATGAGGGACGATAATAGCATTATGCCAACACATTGTTTTGCATGCAGGCTTACAGACATGACAGGACAAAAATATTGCCTCTGTTTCAAAATATATTTGGGGAAATGTCTGTGTATTTTCTCTCCTTTTAAAAAATTAAGGATTCTAAAAAGATTCTTCTCTTTCTCAAATCACTATTCAAGAAGAAAGGGACCATGCTCATTCAAGTTGGAGTGTTGGCATGCTATGAAAATTGATAGATGTACTGCCTAAGGGAGACCCAGTTGCATTCATGCTACTCTTGCACTATGAGCACCACCCCAATCAAAATAGTAATGAGACTGGAAGTTGAGGAAAGGACAGAGTTGCTAAAAGAAATTTCATCGAATGAAATTTCGTGAAATTTCACAAGAAATTTCATGAAATTTCTTTTTTTCCCATGAAATTTCTTTCTACCGACAAAATATCAAAAATGCTTGTTTTTTCTAACAGAATTTGTGTTTATTTTTAAAGAGGATAATATTCGTCAATTAGACCAAGTGGAGCGCTGTCTCTTCTTAGTTCTTCTCTTCTCGTCTTCTCTTACACTTACAAAATGCTTACTCTTTCATTTTGAAACATTTTCTCTCAGACTCAAGAAAAAGTAAAATACCTACCTACTTACTGATCTCAAAATCTATCACTTCAATGCTCAAAAATACAGGTACTCTACTTATTTATCAAATATTTCCTATTTCAAAAAAGAAATACGTTAGCGAAGGAAACTGTTAATTTCTGAAAACTCATTTAAATTGTTTCAATGATAGTTTAAGATCCCTCCCTCCCTTTTGTGCCAAAAAAGAAGGATATGCTATTAGGAAGTACTAGGATTCTTTATAGTCAAGAAATTTCTTTTGTTCCAAATATGAAAGCTAACGTCTTACTTTATTCATAAAATTAATTTTGGTGTTCAACCGGTACGGTTGTGTGTTCAACCAAAATTTGAGGGAAAAAAATCAAAATTATGTTTTTGCTGTTTTACTCAACTTCCTGGGCATTTCTACAGTTCCCTTTGACAGTTTACCACATGCGTATAAAGGGACTTAAGAAGATTCATAAGTTTTTAGGGTTTAATCCTGAATTCTGAGTGTCAAATGAAATTCCCTGAAATTTCTTGAAATTTCCTCATGAAATTTCTTTTTATAAACTTTCACGAAATTTCTTAACTCTGGGAAAGGAGGATGAAAAAGGCTCCAGCCTTTTTTGCCCTCTACATTCTATTTGCAAGTTGGCACTTTGGTTTGAGCGAGTCCTTTTTAGAAATTAATACCCATGACTTGCCTTTTCCTACTTATTATTGCAGACGCTTGTGCTTCTTGAAAATTTTGGAAGCATGCCAACACTTTTTTTGCAATCTTCGAATATGCATTTACGCTTCATCGGCCAACACAGGCTCTTAAAACAGAGGAAATAATTGACAAATTTGACGAAAAATAGTTGGTTACGTCGCCTGTATCATCAAGAGAAATCAAGTAAATTAGAATGCGCCGTTTCAAAGTATGAACAAAGCTCACTGTACTGTAAAGCAGGTTATGTTGTAATAACTCTGTTTGTTTAATTTGCAGTCCGTAGTTTTTATTTGGGCGCAGTATCAAAATTATTTGGCTTTAAAATGGCGCGTAGTTCATACTATTTTTCTTTTCTTAATAAAACTCAATATAAAAGAATGAACAATCGGCCTTTAGCAGTAGATCGCAGCAAATAGCAGTATGTATTCAAATATATGTATGCTTCAGCTATGTATGATCAACAGACTCTTACTGACTTGTGTCCTCATTGTAAGTTATTTGTGAGCTGTAAATTTCCATAAGCAGTCAGGTGTTGATAATTTTTTTTTTTTACTTTTTTGTCGGTATTTTATGCTCAAGCAGAAGTTTTGGGTCCTTTTTTCCAGTTAAGAATCTACTGATTCAGCAGCAGTTTAATGTAAAAAATTGCAAGCAAAATTTCTACTTACCTCAGTATGTTTTGACAGTGGTGTCACTCCCCCCCTAGGTACTTGACGAGTTCCCCCCCTATTTCATTACTTTTCACCCCCCCTTAAACAGCCGCGAATTTCCAGGGGGCGGCCCCCTCCCCCAACGGGGAGTCCGGAAAATTTTGAAAATTTGATGCTCTCTAGAAGCAATTTGAGGCTATAGTCAGCAGTCTTATCTCCGATTCCACTGCAGAAATTTGCGTAGTTTTCTGTGTAAATATGTATAATTTTTTTTTTAAAAAAAAAAAAAAAAAAAAAAACTTGGGTAAGGATGGATATTTATAGATGCCTTCTCCTTACAGATACATTGAGCAAATTTATTTCCATTACAAAAAATAAATAAGTAAAAAATTATTTCATTTTGTGGAATTAAAAGGGTCCCCTCAAAGGTTCATTAAAATCTCCCATTAACGATGCCGGAAGTTTCTCTTTTTATTTTGAATAAACCCCCCCCCCCAATTTTAGGCTATCCCTTTCCAATCCTTACCGACGACACCCTCCTTAAATTTTATTAGAAGCTATTTTCATGGTCTTCATCTAACATAAATTTGACTAGGCTGCTCCCTTTCCGTAAGCAAGTTCGATCCTAACTCGACTGAGCTCCCCCCCTACCACAACTGAGCCCCCCTTACCTCGACTAAAGGTCCCCTCAACCTTTCGTGAGCTACGTGTAGTAACATTATTATTTTTCTTGACATTAAATGAGCTTTCCTTTTAAAATCCAGAAAATGATGCTTACGATTAGAACTAACAGTAGCAATGTCTTGCATGTAAATGCCCCCCTTGAAAAAAATAAAAATAAAACAAACGGGCAAGAAAGATGAAGGGATGAGAAAAATCGTGAAGGAGAGAAAAGAAAGAAAAGCGGGGGAGAGAGCAAAATATGGGGGGATGAAGGATCGGGAGAAAAGGAAAATGGGGGGAGAGAATAAGAATAGAGGGGGAACAGGAAAACGAGGGGCGGAGAGAGAACAAAATATGGGGG